GGTTGCCCTCTGGCTGGCTGAGCCTGGACAAGTCCGTGTTCCAGCTGGTGGCCCAGACGGTTGGGGCCAGCATGTGGCGAGAAGCAGCTCCTGAGCCAGAGCCCCCCCGGGCAGAGCCACCTGAAGTGTCACCCCTGCCACGGCCAGCCCGGGGGCTGTGTCCCAACCCTCCCTGGTGAGCAGTGGCACGTGGCTGTCCCACAGGGGCTGGGGACATGGTGGGATGGGGTTTGCATGGGTCTGGGTGTTGCAGCAGGAGGGTTTTCTGCAGTGTGAGCATTGTTTGGTGATCGAACCCTTTCTCCCCTCCCTCTGCCCGCAGTGAGGTGAAAGCTCTTTGCCATCACATCGCCACTGAGGCAGGACAGCTGAGCTTCAACAAAGGGGATATCCTGCAGGTCATCTCCAAGGTGGATGGTGACTGGCTGCAGTGCAGCCTCGGCTCCGAGAAGGGGCTGGTACCCATCATGTACGTCACCCACCCGGAGGACGAGGACTACTGACCTGGCCGGGAGGCCAAGCACAGTACCGTGGGCTACTGAGGCTCCACTGGGGATATTCTGCTCTGCCAGACAAACAGACACAGCTTCTTGCTAGTTTCTTACCTTTCTTGCCATTACAGAATACAGTAACCGTAGGTGGTTCCTTCTTGCTCCTCCTTGTGCAGCTGCCAAAGGCCAAACCGGCCACGGGGCCTTCCGCGAGCTGCACCTCGTCTTGCCAGGCGTCGCCGTGCATGCAGCCACACCGGGCACTGCCTGAGCCCCCTCCACCCCACACCAACCTCCAGCACCTGCAGGTGGTGGGCTTGTACGTAGCGGGGATCCCAGCAGGCGCTGGCTCAGTTTTTTTTTTCTCTCTGGAAGGGTGCAGGATGCTGGCCGTCCCCTGCCGGGGGTGGCAGCGCGGCCTCCAGCACCCCGCGGTGTCATCGCCACGGGGTGGGAGCACCGTGCACTGCCAGGCTGCCCAGCCACGGCCACGGGAGGGGAAATGGGGCCGCGTGAGTGTGCAGAGAGAGGGTGTTTGGGTCGTGAGGAAGGCGCGTGGATGTTCGGTGTGATGTAGGTCCAGGTTGGGTAGTGCCACCCTGTGCGGAGCTGGGGGCTGTGGGGTGCCCCCCACGCTGAGCAGTGCCTCGGATGCCCTGGGATGCTCGGTGGAGGCGGGTGGGAGGGGAAGGGGGTGAGGGCAGGGTCCCTGACAGGGATAGGGGTGGGATGCTGTTTGGAGACGGGGGCCGTGCTCCCAGCAGGGAGAGCAGGGGCTGCTCCCAGAGGGAGCAGGGAGATGGGGATAGGGGTTGGGGGCGGGGGGGATGCTCCCCATGGCGTGGGGTCGGGGGCGAGTGTCATGCACAAGGGGCTGCTGGGGGGGGTCCTGGGCTCCCCGACAGAGGCAGTGCCAGCCCACCCCTGCGCCTTGCCATGTTCTTGGGGTGGGGTGGGGGTCCTTGCCTGCCCAGCGGGTGGGGGTCAGTGTTAATGAAAGGCCGTGCCAGTATTTGGTGCCTTGGCCAGGTGGGTGCTGCCCACGGCGTTGTGCCTGGGCTGGCTTCCCCGTGGCGAGGGGCCCTGGTCTTGCAAGGTTACCTCCTGCTTGTACATCGCTTAGCGGACGTCGCACCGTATTTAATTTGTATCTCCCCATTAGAACAAGGTGTCTCGCCTTTATTTATTTCTTTATTTATGATGCATATTAATAAAAAAGGTGCTGATTGAGGTCCCTTGCTCTCCAGCCTTTTGATTTCAGCCTGTCCCTGAGAAGGGCTGGGGGGATGCCTGTGGTTTTTCCTGCCTCCAGCAGTTGACCTTCAGAGTGAGATGGGTTGCTCCCTGCTATCCTTGGCTCGTGGCAGATGATGGGAGAGGGAGGAGATGGTCTCCACCTGGCCAAGAGGGGTAGATCCAATCCCTGTGTCATCCAGAGGTCCTTTCTTCACCCCTCCAGAGAATCCCCAACCCCAGGGGATTGTAACCTGTGAGCAGCAGGAGCAGGTCCTGAGCAGCGCAGGATGGAGGTGGCGAGGGATGGGTTGTGGGGTTGGGGACCCAGGGCCTGGCACAACCTCTCCGCGAGGCTCAGTGGCTGTGGGTCACTTCACAGGGAATGGCTCTGGGGCATTTACACTTAGGCTGGCAAGAGCATTAGATCCTAGCCCTGTGGGAGCAAGCCCCAGGAGCCCATCCCTTCCCAGGATGTCATTCTCAACTGAAGTCATTCTCAACCTCCTGCTGACATGCTCCCCATAACAGCCAGCCCCACGTCTCCCTGCCCACCGGGGACAGCCCTGGACCCACAACGTGATGCACACGGGGTCCTGCCCATCTCATGTCACGGTCCTGGCACAGCAGCCGTGTCCTCTGCTCCTGCTCCTTGTGGGCAGACCCCAGCTGCTGCTGGGTGAAGCTGCTCCTGGAATCCTTGCAGATCTCAGAATAAGTCTTGGCGAAGAAATGCTGGGCTCGGGGGATGAACCCTGGAAGCAGAGCGTCCATCAGGTGGGAAGCAAGGGGGAGCCTGGGTTCGGGGCACTGGGGTCTGGGGCCCGGCAGTAGGAGAGGTAAAGGCACGAGGGAGGGGATTGGGAGGTGCAGAGGGAGCAGAGATGCTTTAAGGGCTAAGAGCAGGGAGGGAGCAGCAGCGCCTGCCTCCCTCAAGGTGTTTGGGGTCCCTCAGTGCTGGGGACTGGGGGGGTCCCGTGGCTGTGCCACCTTGCTCTGGGCTGCTGCTGCCTCCCTGGCACAGCTGTGGCTGTAAAAGGTTGCTTTTACACAGCGTCCTGAGAGCTGTCGGCTCCCTTCCTTCCCAAAACAGAGAGAGAAAACACCCTGGGTGCTGGGGCAGGGGCTGGCAGCGCCCAGGGAGCTGGGGAGCAGCAGCAGTGCCCTGTGGGGCTGGGGGAGCCTGCAGGGGGGGAGAAAAGGGGCACAGCCTGCACAGGGAGCACCAGGAACCTGCCCTGGTGTCAGGCACAGAGGGATGGGATGGGATGGGATGGGATGGGATGGGATGGGATGGGATGGGATGGGATGGGATGGGATGCTCACAGGGCAGCACAGGCAGCCCCAGGGTTGAGCACAAAGCCTTGGGACACGCTGAGACCCATACTGGCCAGCCCAGGCTCACAGGATCCAGTTCCTGGGTCCCTGTTGGTGTGACCCCGCTGGTGGCAGCACCCCGAGGTGCTGAAGTGGGAGCCTGCAGCCGGACACAGGATCCAGGGAGGAAATTGGGGAACTGAGCTCTGTGCAGAGCTGGGCTGAGCCTGGTGTCAGCCAAGAGCTGCCTGCCAGTGACAGTCACAATGGGATTTCTTTCCATCACCCTTACTAACCAACAAAGCTTGGAAAGTCCAGGGGCATCTTGCTTAGCTTCAGAAAGGGGAAATGCATGAGAAGCGGAAACTTGGGTAAGATGTACCCAAAGGAAGCAGCACCGTCCAGCAAGCCTGTGCCAGGATTTAAGGCAGCCTGTCAGGGCTCCTGGCGTCAAAAGGCAGCGGGGAATCAGCAGGGCTAAATGCTAGGGCCAGAGGTTATGTGGAACAGAGAGGTGCTCTTCAAAGAGCTGAAGTCATGGCGAGATGACGCAAAATAGCGTCAGGCAGGTGAGAAGTAAAGATTTTATCAGTAAGATAAAAATACAGAGCAAGGAGCCTGTAGAAGCAGACATCAGTCCTTTTTTTTTGCAAAAACACTTTGTGAACTGCACATCTGACCCCGAAAATCTGTGGTGCTGGTAGCTCAGAGCATGAAGAACTGAGAGCAGACAGATTCTTACGGATCCTTAGGGGGGTCTTTGTATTCGCCTCACCTAGGAGAGCTCTGGTGCCGGGCTGCAAGCACTGAGCTCTTTATTGTCACCTCTGAGGGCGGCACCGCGGCAGGATGCGGTCCTCACCGCGGGATGGGGGTAGTGATGAGACACGCTGCTCACCCTCCCAGCTGTGCCATGGGGTGGCTGTGACACTTGCCAGCCCCACAAAATCCCAGGATCACCTGTGGTGTCCCAGGCGCTGAAGCCAGGCCAGATGCTGCCTCTGCACTTTTGGCTTGGCCTTGCGTAACCGGAGCGCGCCTGGTGTGCTGCGAGGCAGCGGCGGCTTGCGACACCCCCAGCCCTCTGCACGGAGCACGGGTATGCTCAAGTCTGGATTTTTCCGACGCGGAGCAAGGGGAAGTGTGAAGAGAGAGAGAATGAGCAAGTACACAGGGCTTCCTGGCAGCACGGGGGCCACGCTTCCTCTACGGGCAATTGAGGTTTTAGATGGGGTAATGCAGGGCTCTTGGAGAGGCCAGGCTGTTAGCACCGGGAGCAGCGCAACGGAGGCCCCAGGGATGTGTTGTTTTTTTCTTTTAAGGGGATTTTTTCTGACATATGGAATTTTCCTAGTTATTTTCCAAAGATTCCCCCAAAAGGGGAACTTCATTCCTACTGATGTGGTTTGCTTTTTGCTTCTGCACCTCTATAAATGGTTTTTGAGCCTCTACACTGAAAGACTCCAAAGTCTCCATCAGAGAAAACAAAACACCTCAAGGCTCCTACCACCAGACGGGCTCTCAGGCCTGGGATCACTGCCATGGCACCCACACTGCGGGTCCCCGTGGCTGTCACCAGCGTGTCACCCAGCATCTGCTCTCAGCCTGTGCTCCAGCACCCATTCAGCACCTCGGCTTTCCTGCCCAAGCGTGCGCCACCAGCTCACAAAGACCGACAATGCCGTTTTGGCAGCCTTTTTCCACAATTCTTTCTAACTTTTCAGATATTAATCGAGGGAGAGTTGTGCTGATGTAGTCTCTGCGTGACTCTACTGAGCGTGGAAGCTCCATCTTCCCGCAGAAGTCCTGGAGAGCCAGGCTGCTCACACGTCCCTCTGGGACTGCTGCTGCCCATCCCGAAATGGTTGGGGCTGCTCCCACAGAGAGCCCCCAAAACGGCCTCTCTGGCCAGCACTCAGAGAGCTGCGGGGCTGTGAGACGGGTGCGAAGCTGCCCCGGTGCTCCGAGGAACGAAAGCAGTGCTGACAGCGGCAGAGGTTCCCTCTCCAATGAGGAAGCCTCTCGCCCCGCATGCAGCCGCTCTGCCTGCCTGCTTCCTTTCGCTGCTTGCACATCTCGCAGTCGGGCGGGCGCTGAGCAGCAGCCGGCGGGACGAGCCCTCGGTCCTGCCAGGGGGGAGAAGGCAGCATGGCCCTGCGCTGGAGCCTTCTCCTGGCCCTCATGCCTCTGCTGGCAGCAGAAAAGATGGAAAGGGATGAGACCGGTTACAGAGAAAACCGCCGACAGGCAGGTAAGAGGTGGGCGCTCTTCTCCCTGCGAGAGGAAAGTGTTGGGCTCCCTTGCTGCGTGTCTGCCGTGTCCCCTCGCCACCGGCAGCACGCAGCAGCTCTGTCAGAGGCTGGGGCGATGTCCGTGCCAGGGACATGAGGGCATCGGTCACAGTGTGGTGGGGTGAGCCCCCCAGCACCAGGCAGCCCCCAGCTCCCCCTGTACAGCAGCCGGGGCTGCAGCCCGGGACGGGGTGAGAGGGTGGAGAGCCAAGCCCACAGGGGTACCTCGCAGCAAGGCTCGCTTTCTAAGAGCAGATCGAGGTTGTTTTGCTATTTCCAGCGTCCGTCAGCAGAACTGGGAAGTGGGACTGACATTTTAATCGCAGCAGAGCCAGTTAATTGCGTGCCTGGAGGGCCAGGTGCTATCTGAGCTTGCAGGAGGTGGTGAACCCATCCAGGGCAGCACGGCCTGGGGCCTGAGCCCAGCTCTGGGGACCATCGCCCTGCCTTGTTCTGCATCCATCTGACCTGGAGGCTGTCTCTAAACTCACCTTGCTGCAGCTGGGGGGCAACAAATGTTCAGTTTGCACGTGCTCACGTTGTAGGGACCTGCTGTATGTACATGTATGTCCCTGGGCTGGCACAGGCTGGAGGAGCCCGCAAGTCGAGGACCCTGGCTGTCACCAGGGCCCCAAAATGGGACTGTTTTTTTTCGGGTGTTGATTTGAACTCAGGCCAGGTGGGGGACAGCAGGGTCTGTGCTGCATGGCATAGGCCAGGGGAGCTGTGCCCCTGGAGGGACAGGGAGTGTGAGCACAGCACGCCATCACTGGAAAACCAAGGGCAAAGCCCGCAGCAGAAGACATCCCCCTGCCCCTTTCCCAAATCCTCCACCCAAGCTGTCCTGTGTGTGCTCTGCACGTCTCGGTCACCCGACCGTCCTAGGAGAAATCCGGGGTTGCCTGCAGCGGAGACGGTATTGCTGAGTTTGCACCTTGGTGTTTGTGAAAAAGAGGAATCGAAACACGAACGCTTCTTGGCCACTCCCAGAGGCACGGGCAGCCCTGCAGGCACGTGTGGGGTACAATCAGGGAGAGGGGCACAGGCCAGGGGACAGTGGATGAGCTGCAGCACACTGCTGTGCCTGTCTCAATGCCTAAAAGGCCCCTCAAGCCGCGGGGACTGTGGCACAGGCAGCATGGGGCTGTCCCCACTCAGCATGCCAAATCCTCTGGGCCAGCCTCACGCGTGCCCCAGCTCTGAGCTCCGCTACCTGAAGAGCCGCAGGCAAGGCGATGCGGCTGGGAGCGAAGGAGTGGGGGTGGCGGGCAGGGTTCTGGGGGCGCGCTGAGGAAGCCAGATGACAAATCTGCGTCCCAGCACTGGGGAGGAGGCAGCGCTGCGTGCGCGGTGCCAACGCTGCCGGCAGAGGATGTGGTCGGGGCGTGTGGCGCAGCGCTGCTCCCTGCGCTGAGCAGGCGGCATTGTCCCTTTGTCCTATTGTCCCCCGGCCGTCTTTCTGCACGGCTCTCTCAGAGCTTTCCTCAACGCCTGTAATCCTGGGGCAGCGAAAGCCTAAGGGAGGCCGTGGAGGAGCCCCGTGGGGCCGCACACCCCGGCTGTGAGCTGCATGCTGCCCCGTGCTGCCACTTCCCGCTCCACAGCACAGCTTCCCGAAACACCAACCTCACCTCCTGCTGCTCAAAGCCTGCCAGCTGCCCTCCTGCACCATGTTGGCCTCGCTGAAGCTTCACCTGGACGCTTTATTGTGTCTGGGGCCTATGGGCAGCTCTCTGCATGGCCCCGGTGTGTGTCTCTGAGTGCCTCCGTGCTCGGGCATGCTGTGAATCCCTCCAGGGCTGGAAGCCCAGTGCTCCTTTCCCTGCTCTCTCGGAGCACTCCCGGAGCTCCAGCCTGGAGGAAGGGGCCAGCCCCACGTGCTGTGCAGCGTTACCCCTGCCTCTGCCGGGATGTGCCCTGCAACGAGGCACAAACCCCTGGAGAGGTCCATCAGCTTTGTCTCTTCCCATCCCACTGACACGCTCTCCTTCTTCTCTCTGCAGTTTGCCCGAAGCCGCAGTGGGACTCAAGCCTCCGCTTTGTCCCAGAGAAGACATCTTATGATAACGGGGAGGAGCTGACACTGAGCTGCCTCACTGAGGATGATCCTCCTCTCGCTGTGATCAGATGTGTTGCATGGAGTGACTGGGAATATGCCTGGGAGGTGACGGACAAGCAGGGAAGGTCGCATCACATTGAAATGTACCAGGCCTGCACAGGTAAGTCGGGGGCAGCAGCTCTCCCCTGCCGCGGGCTCCTCTCCGTCAGCAGGGCCCCTGGCGTCTCACCGTGCCCGTGGGATGCCTCGGGCTCGGCTCTGGGATGGCCCCGGCCGGGAGCAGCCCCCGAGCTGGGCTGGGACAGGAGCCCCCAGCGGGGCCCGGCCTTGCCTCTGCCCTGCCTGAGCTGTGGCCAGATCCTGCCCTCAGCCCTGCTGCTCTGAGCACCTCACAGCCCCGCGGGGCTCCTGTCCCGCACCCAGGGGCTCTGCTGACAGATGACCCCGCAGGCAGTCATAGCCCAACCTCAGCCTCCTCCTGCCCGAGCACCCCATCCCCAAGGAGGACTGTCACGCTTTCTCCCCTGCAGGAAAGTGCCAGAAGCCCCTGTGGGACAGAAGGGTCATGCTCGTCCCAAGGAAAGGCAGCTACACACTGAATGAGGAACTGAGGCTGTCTTGCCCTGAAGGTGTCAAGCCCTCCTTCACCAGTGCCAAATGTGTGAGGGAATTTCAAGGAGTGACTTCAGGACAACCTGACTATGGGGTCAGCTGGTGGGGGAGGAGAGACAGAGGCGCCTGGACCCTCATTGAGGAGCCCGTAGCGTGCGTGGGTACGCGGGGCAGCTCTCCCCGTCCCCTCTCTGCCCTCACACTCCCGCCCCAGCCCCTGCTTGGCGCTGCGGTGCCCTGCCGGCTGCTGAGGAGCTCCCCCCTCAGAGCACCCTCCTTCCCCACTGCTCCCTGTGACGCTGCTGTCCTGGGCTCAGCACCCCTCGGGTTTCCTCACGGCCTTGGTTCTGGCCTCCCCGAGCCTCCTGCATATCCCCCCCAACTCTCACACAAATTTGCCTTTGACAGTAAAATGCTCGAGGCCCCAGTGGGACCCTGACCTTCATCTGGCACCAGAGCGGGACGTCTATGAGGAGGGCGAAGAAGTGACGCTGAGCTGCCCGGAGGGTTCCCTGTTCCCCTTCCAGCAGGCTAAATGTGCATGGAGACCTCGGGCTGTGCCTAATGGGGAGCACAAGGGCACCTGGACACAGAAAAACGAGTCGGGGAAATGGGTCCTCATTCAGAGCCCCACAACATGCATCAGTAAGTGGGGTGACAGGAGGTGCCTCACCTGGAGCCCCGTGGCCCTGCGGCTCCTCTGGTGCCAGGGCACGGCGAGGTGAAGGGCAGCCTGAGCTGGGCTTGGGGTCAGCTCCAGAGAGCGGCTGCAGGGGGTCTCCTGCTGCAGGTGGGATTGTCCTGGGAAGCTGCCGGCCGTGGGATGTGGTGGGGGGCAAAGAACGAGCATGGAAATGGGGTGGAGAAGGGATTTTGTGGGCAAGTGACAAGGGGAGCCCCCTCCCTCCCAGCAAGGCTTGCTGGGGGGCACGTCATGGCACATGGACGGCTCTCCTTCTGTCTCCCTTTGGTGTCTGGAGGGATTGCTGGTGGTTGCCGATAGCTGGTGGTACCCTGCCCCACCTCAGCACCCACACCCCAACTAAACCCGCTTTTGCCTCACCCAGGAACATGCCAGAAGCCCTGGTGGGACCCAAGGCTCCGTCTGGCACCAGAGCAGGAGGTGTACAAGGAGAACGCAGAAGTGACGCTGAGCTGCCCCGAGGGTTTCCAGCCGTCCTTCACCCACATGAGATGTGCAGGGGGAGTGCAGACAGCAGAACATTCTGGATTTGTAGACAGAACTACCTGGCTGGGGAGGAAGAGCACAGGTGTCTGGATTCACATTGAGGGGCCTGTGGAGTGCCTTGGTACGTGGGTTGGCAGGAATTACCTTCTCTGCAGCCCTGTCATCCAGTCCTGCCCTCCATGCCTCTCTGCGTTTCCCACATCCCCACCGTGTCCTGGGCCATGCTCCCCATACCTGAGCGCATCCCTCGGTCTCCCTGGGTTTGATGCCTGAGACCAGTGCCCAAGCAAATGGTGGCCCAGCCTCACCCACCCCTGGGCAGCCCCACCCCCACTGCCACTCACCTGCTTTTGCCTCTGCCAGAAACGTGCCGAAAGCCCTCGTGGGACCCAAGGCTCCGTCTGGCACCAGACCAGGAGGTGTACAAGGAGAACGAAGAAGTGACGCTGAGCTGCCCTGAGGGTTTCGAGCCATCTTTCACCCACATCAAATGTTCAAGAGAAGACCAGTCCATCGGCGCTGGGAAGCCTGTGTACAGAGAAGTTTGGATGGGAAAGGACCCAGGAGGTGCCTGGACCCGCATTCGCTCCATGGTGCAGTGTGTGGGTAAGAGAGGTGCCAGGAGCTCTCCTGGGGCCCTGAGTGCTCGGGGATGTAGGGGGAGATGCCAAAGGCAGTGGGAGGCAGCCCCTGCACCTGCCCAGGGCTCGCCCTGTGTCCCCAGGGGTGCCTGGGTGGCAAGGGGGATGGTGGCTGCAGAGTTGGACACCTGCCCTCATCCCCTTCCTGGGGCCGTGCTGCAGAAGCTGCTCCACATCGTGTCCCGCAGCTCCATCCCTCACCGTAGCGTGCCAGGGCAGGGATCTCCTGCCACGTCCCCTGCCTTGCCCTGCATGGCCAGCCCCTGCCCTGCTAGCACCTTCCCTTCTTGTTGGTGCAGGAAAATGCCAGAAGCCCCGCTGGGACCCCAGATTAATCTTTGTCCCAGACATGGCATCCTACATGGTCGGTGCAGTGGTGGTGGTGAGCTGCCCTGAAGGGCACTGGTCTCCTGCCATGAAGATCGCCTGTGTAGATATCCCAGGCCAAAACTCTCCAACTCCTCAGAGGTCCTGGGTTGTGAATAAAAGCACTGACTACTGGCAGCCTGAAGATCACTGGCTGTGTGTGGGTGAGCGAGGAGGTGCATTTAAGAGTGAAGGGCGGGCCCAATGGCAGAGTGCTGCTGGCCCTGTTTCAGAGGCACTCATGGAGTCTGCTCCCACCAGCAGTTGCCTCGAGCACTGAGAGGTGATGCAAAGCTCACGCCCAGCTTCCAGTGATCCAGACTCCTCCAGCTCTGCAGCTGGAGACCTGCCGTGGGCAGTGTCACCTCCGCCTTCCTCTCCCTGCTGCTGGCTGGGAGCAGGGCTGTGACCGCAGCACCTTGCAAGGGTGCCAGGGGAAGGGAAGGCAAGGCAGTGACCCTCTTCAATGCTTCCTTCACAGAGGTCTTCATGCCTGGGACCTTGGAGGTTTCCACCACCAGCATCAAACTGAACTGGACCTGCAGTCTGCCCGATGCCTGCCAGCGCATGCAGGCCACGTGCAGGCTGGCAGGGCCTTCCTCCCCTCCCTGCGAGGCTGAGGAGGTCACGGCACAGGAGATGCTGCACGGCCAGAATGGAACATTTACCTGTGACCACCTGCAGCCCTTCACTTTCTACAGCATCACCATCTCAGTGCCCGCCAGCACCATCCTGTTCTCAAGACTCCTGAGAACAAAGGCAACAGGTAAGTGTCCCGTGCCTGTCAAGGTACTTTTGCTTTTCTCCCCAAAATCTCGGCCGCAGGTGGGTGTCCCCATGTGTGACCCCCTCTCGCTGTGCTTGCAGTGCCGGAGAAGCCAGAGTGGCTGTGGCTGGATGCCAGCACGGGGACGCTGCGGTGGCAGGCGCTGCCCTCCTGCAAAGGGGAGATCCTCGGGTACCAGGTACCAGGGGAGCGGGGGCTGCCCGTGGGCCCTGCGCTTCGTCAGGTGCCTCAGGGTGGGTGTTGGGCACAGGCGGGCGGGCAGACCATGTGAAATCCTTGAGGACCTTGAGATCCATCCTGCTGGCTGATTTCCTAGCTGCTGTGATAAGTTTGAGCATTTCTGCCTCCCTCTCAGTGTTCCTCCCTGTGCTGGCTTTACCAAGCTTTACAGCTGAGCTGCACCACAACTGATCACTCGCTCCCCCTCCTCACAGGGAAAGGGGCTCAAGGGTCGAGATAAGGACAGGGAGATCACTCATCAGTTATTGTCAGGGGCAAAGAGACTCAGCATAGGGAGATTAATATAATTTATTACCTATTACTAATATGCTAGAGCAGTGAGAAACTAAAAACAAACTAAAAACACCTCCCCCCCATTTTCACCCTCTTCTACGTCCTCTCCCTGAGCAACACAAGGGAACGGGCAATGGGGGCTGTGTTCAGTCCCTGACGCTTCGTCTCCACTGCTCCCTCACGGTCCCTCTCTGCCCCTGCTCCATGTGGGGTCCTTCCCATGGATGCCGTCCTTCCCAAAATGAGCCCGCGGGGGCTGTCCACAGGCAGCAGCTCTTCAAGAACTGCTCCCACAGGGTCCATCCCCCAGGAGCAAACTGCTCCAGCACGGGTCCCCCACGGGTGGGGGCAGCTCCCCCCAGACCCCCTGCTCCTGCGTGGGCTCCTCTCCATGGGCTGCAGCTCCGGCCCGGGGCCTGCTCCTGCGGGGGCTCTCCATGGGCCGCAGCCTCCTTCAGGCCACATCCACCTGCTCCACCGGGGGCTCCTCCACCCATGGGGGGGCTGCAGCGTGGAGATCTGCTCCATGTGGGACCCATGGGCTGCAGGGGGACAGCCTGCTCCACCAGGGGCCTCTCCACAGGCCACAGGGGAACTGCTGCTGGAGCAACTCCTGCCCTCCTGCTGCACTCACCTGGGGGCTGCAGGGCTGCTTCTCACTCCTCTCTCCCAGCTGCTGTGAGGTGCAGCTTGTTTTTCCCTTTCTTTGCACTCATAGGGGCACAAACAACATCACTCCTGCTCAGCTCTGGGCAGCAGCAGGTCCCTGTGGAGCCAGCTGAAACTGGCTCTTATCTGACATGAGGCAGCTTCTGCATTCTTCTCCCAGAGGCCACCCGTGCAGCCCGCCACAACCAAACCTTTCCACATAAACCCAATACACTCCTGCTGCCTGCAGGGGCTGTGGGTGCCAGGGGGTTTCCTCCCCAGCTCTGCACAGCCTGTGGTTTGGCAGACGCTGGGGCTCTGTGTGCAGCACCTTGTGACGTGTCTTGTGGCGCAGTCTCATGGGCTTTCCTGTGCCTCAGGGGCCTTAGTTCTGGTTTGTGGCACAGGAAAGGCTGTGGTGTGCAGTGCTGGGAGCAGGAGGAAGGGGGCCAGTGCAGCACCCAACCTGTAGGAGTCTCCCCGTGGGGATTGGATGTGATGCAGCCTCACTGAGGATGCCTTGGAAATCAGCCTGGAGAGCAGAAGAGTGCTCTGAGCAGCTCCATGTGCAGCTGCTGCTGCTGCAGGGGTGTCTGTGGTGCAGCAGATTGCTCTTGCTTCGAGTGCTGGCCCCAAATTCCCCCTGTCCTCCTCCGGTCTGCGCTGAGGTCCATGCGTGGGGCCAAGGCTCCCGGGGCGTCTCTCCGGGAGCTTCCCAGCTGCAGGCGCTGCTGGGCTGTGGCTGGCTGTGCGCTGGGCACGTTCCCCTCCAGCTCTGTGTCCTGTCCCCAGCTGAACGTCACCGCCTGGGGCCCGCAGGACGGCGGCTTCCTCCAGGTCGAGCGGCTGAGGCTGAGCAGCTCCGTCACGGAGCACCCGCTGCCTGCGCACGGCCCTGGCACCAGATACACGGTGGCCGTGCGGGGCCTGACGGCTGCCGGGGCCGGGGCAGCACTGCTGGGCGACTTTCAGAGCAACGGCTCGGGTAAGGGTGTGCGTGCGCTGCCCCCAGCCCTGCCCTGCCTCGCCGGGCCTCCTGCTGATGCTCATCCCTGGCTCTTCCTGCACAGACACCGCAGCCCCTCCTGATGCCAGCTCCCGCCTCGTGCGCGACATCTCCCCCTCCCAGGGCACGGCCGTGCTTCGCCTCCGCCCCATCCCCTGGGTCCCCGGGGCGGCCAGGTGAGTGCAGCCCCTGCTCTGCACAGCCCCGAGCAGCGCTCACACCTGCAGCTGCCTCCTTCCAGCTCTTTGTCACGGCCCCGTCTCACAGCCCTGCCTTGCAGCGAGCACCAGCTCCTCGTGGCCATGACGCACAACAGCACGGCGCTGGAAGATGCCTGCTCAGGGGAGCTGCAGCTCTTCAACACCAGCCACCTGCCCGACACCTACGTGGCCGCCGTGCTCAACCTCAGCAATTCCACGGACTTCGTGCTGGGCGATGGGACCCGCGGGCATGGCTTCCACAACGCTCCCCTGCGCCCGGGCTGGGACTACACCGCCCTGCTGCGCCTCGAGCAGCGCTCCCAGGAGGTACCCGTGGCTGGAGGCTGCAGCTGCTTGGGTGCCGCGGCTCCTGGGGACGTGGTGGCCCTGGGTGGCAGCCCTCTGCTCTGAACTCTGCCCCCGTTTCTGCCAACAGGAGGAGACGTTCGCCTGTGTGTGCTACAGCTTCTCTATGGGTAAGTGGGCTCCTCTGCGGAGGGGCTGGCTCACCCCGTGCCCTGTACCTGAGGCTCTCTGCCACGTCCTCCCTTTTCCCAGCCTGGCACCTTGCTGTGGTCAGGGGCTGGCGAGGGCAGGAGCTCCTTGTGGGGCACAGGACACCTCTCTTTTCCCAAACTCTGGGGTGATGCTATAGCCAGATGCTACCCTCAGCCTCTTGGATGTTCCCTGGATCTTGAGGCCACTTGGGCACTTGCGGTACAGTTGGACCCTGCACAGCTTCCATGCCATCATCTCACATTGCATCTTAGTCCTCATTCTGCCCTAGTGCAAGTGCGTTTCCCAAAACTCAAACTACTCACCTGGCTCTGGCCACGCCTGGGGACAATCATAGAGACACAGCCCACGCTGAAGGGCTTCACACCACGCAAGCACCCACTCCTGCACAAGCCTAACTTCGCCCCAGCACAGAGCCTGTGATGGATGATGATGCAAGCTGCTTTTCTCCCCACCCCCCTGTGGAGTCTCCCGTTGATGGATTCGGGCTCTGCAGGAGCCTGATCCTGAACTGTGTTGTTTATAGGGCAGGAGCCGGTGCCTCTGCTGAAGAGGAAGCCTGTGCTGATGGCACTCGTGGTGACAATGTTAATTCTGGCACTGGGGATTCTGCTGCTCTTCCTGCTCTTCAGGTTAGTATGTGCTGCTCTTCTGCTCTCTGTGCTGCCATGGGATACCAAGGTCCTTGGGCTACCCAGGGTGGACCCTGATATAAATCTTCTCTCCATCTCCTGAGTGTCCAAGGGCCTCTCTTGCTGTTTTACAGGCGAAAGCACAGCAGTTCAAAACCGTCTGAAAGCAACAGCACTATCCCCCTGAGAAAATGTCGAGGAGGTGCAGTATGAGCAGAGGCCCCATCTGCACAGGCTGCCTGTTAAAAGTGCAGGCTGGGTGCTTCCAGGCACTGTAAGGTCCTTATGGGACCAAGGGAGGTCAGAACTGGATGGTATGGGGAAAGGAACACATCCCCAAAGAGGGGGAGCGGGATGGGGAGGGACAATCTGGGCTTTGGTGGGGTCCCGCTCCCTGCTATCAGGTCACCTCCTCCCCTGGTGGTCCCCGTAGGTGTCAACAAGCTGAACACACAGATCCCAGTGGAGGAACTGCTGGAGGCTCTGAAGAGGCTTAAGAGGGCAGAATTAGAGGCTGAGCAGACAGAGGATGAATCAGCCAGCAGTCACGGTGCCGGGCGGATGGCAGAGTACCAGGTCTGGTTTAGCTTTGCTTTCCTGTCCAGCTGCACTGTCCATGCAGTCCCAGCCCCCTGAGGGGCATGCGATGCAGGCAGCCTCAGCCAGCCCCAGAATTTAGGCTAATCCAGAGCTCATCTTCCTCCTCTGCAGCAACTGACCTCGACATTGCTGCATCCCTGTGATGCTGGGAAGGAGCCGTGTAACCAGGGCAAGAACCGCTACAAGTTCATCATTCCCTGTAAGCAGGGCTCTCTGGGGGCTGGCATGGGCATTTGGAGATGGCTGGGTGCTGGGCGGGTGTAGGTGCCCCTCCAAAAACATGTTGCCTGTGCCACATCACCTTTTGTTTCATTCATTGTTCTTTCCTTCTGAACATGTCCTGAGGCCTGGAAGGCTGCTGAGAAGGGAGCGGGCAGCCCTGGGTTTTCCTGAATTACACCTCCTTCCTGAAACAGTCATTTCACTGCTGCCCCAGAGCGACAGCCCACTGACTCCCACCTCCCTTCTCTTCCAGATGACCACTGCCGTGTGGTGCTGCAGCCCTCTGCAGAAGCAGGGAGCGACTACATCAACGCCAGCTACGTGGATGTAGGTAGCAAGGAATCGCTGCCCTGGGCAGGGTAGGAGATATGCATACACGGGTGGCCCCAGGGACTGGCACTTGCTGTCCTCACATGCTGGCAGATCTTGGGATGTTGCTCTCCCTGGTCCTCTCTGAGCTGCCTGCAGCACTCTGGTGGGTTTGTGCACCGTCCTCATCCCTAATAAAGAGGGACCTGCTCACAGTAGGAAGGGCACAGGGATGGAGAGGCAGCCCCTGCCTCTCCGTGCTGTCCAGGATTGGTGCTGTGGGACATATTGTGCTGGGTGCTCTGGTACCTGTGGGGATGGGCCTTGTGTTTCTTGTATTTCTTGTTAAATGTTTAACCTGGGTGATTGGAGCTGCTTGAAACTCTCTCTCACAGAGCTACCGGAGTCCGCGCTTCTTCATTGCAGCTCAAGGTGAGTGCTTCCAGCCCTGGAAACTGCCCAGAGCTGGCACAGGGATGAACTGCCCAGGAAATGCCAGTCTCTGCTCTGAGCCCCTTGGTATGTGGGGAGCTGGGACAGCAGCCCAGGAGCTGCTAAAGGCTCCATCCAGGGCCCTGTATCTCCTGTGCTTCTGTTGTCCTTGGTGGTCACAGCTTTTGCAGGGCATAGGTGGTGTTAGTCTGGCCACAGGAGGAGGCTGTGAGCCAGCTCCTGCACTGCCCAAGCTAAGGATGAGGTCCCCTGGTTCGTTCTCCTTTGGAGGCTGGTGAGCAGGGACAACCCTGCAAATGCCTGACAGTGCTGTGCTCAGCATCAGGCTCCTTCCAGCAGCACAGAGCTGCAGTGGGTCAGTCTGCTCCATGCAGTGAGGGCATCTCAGGCTCCTCGCAAAGCTGCTGAAATGCCCTCCAGGCTGTGCAGTGTAACTCCTGGGCAGAGGGAAACACGAGGCTAACCCTAACCCAGGAGCCTGGGAGCATCTCCACGGCTTGGGCTCTGACACCAGGCTCTCCTCTTCCTCCTCTAGGCCCCTTGCCCGGAACGGTGGTGGATTTCTGGCAGATGGTCTGGCAGGAGAAGATCTCGGTCATTGTGATGCTGACAGGCTTAGTGGAGCAGAACAAGGTACAGGAACCATCTCCCCCTCTGCTCAGCTCAGGTCTCCCCGGTGCCCAGGTTTCCTTGCCTGCTTTGCTTTGCTCTCAGTGCAGCCCTCGATGAGGGCAGGGAGCAGCTCCACACCAAGAGCTGGCTTGTAACGCTCCCCAAATGAGCTTCCTGGTGCTCAGCAGTCTCGCTGCTGTTGACAGACCAAGTGTGAGCAGTACTGGCCAGAGCAGGAGCAAGTCTACGGGGACTTCACCGTGACACTCAACAACACTAGGACCACCACGGGCCTTATCACACGCATCTTCTGCCTGCAAAAGGTAAGACTGGCATGTGGCTGTGATGGAGATGCAGGGTGCTGCTGGTGGTCAGCCCTGCCTGGTCTCCAGCAGTAGCAGGTCAGCTGTGCTATCACTGGACTCTGTCCCAGGGTCTATTAGCTCTGGCCAAGTGAATGTGATGCTCAGGAAAAAAAAATGAGGATGGGCTGGTATAAATGTGACTATATTCATATCATACAGTATCAGCCTTAGGAAGTGTCTGATCTGGGGAAGCAGGGGCTTTTCAATGACTATGGAAAGACTCCACATTGTAAATTTTTTTTCTCTCTGGGACACACACTGCATTTACTCCTCCGAGTTCACTGCTCTCAGCAGGGGGAAGCAGAGAATAAAGCAAATCTTGTGGCTTGGTGAATTTGCTCAAAGTCCTCATCATGCCCTTTGCTGTCTGATGAGCTCTGGTGAAGCTGTCACTGCGGTGGGGTGCAGGGGGGAGGCTGGGTGCTGGTGCATCCCTGCCGTGCTTTGTCTCTGTTTGTTGTCATGCCATTGCTTTACACAACTTCCCAGTGTAATAAATGGCTCAGTCTTCAAAATAGGACTATAATCAAAGTTCACAATTTATTAAAGGAATAGAGGTAAGCAAACAGTGCTGGGTGTGCCAGGAGTCTCTGCTCCACCAAGACGCACACCAGTTACATCAAGCAGCTGATTTTTATGCTCCTAGGCTGATACATATTCATTACTACTTCTAAAAAAAACAGGGTTATTATAATTAGTTTCCAGAATCCAAACCCTCCTACTGGAGCATGCATATCAGTCTCCGGTGGTCCCTCTGGGGGTCTCTGGGGGTCTCTCGTGCTGAAGGCTCGTAGTCTTCCTCCCTCTTGTCCTTCTCCTTTGTCCAATTTGTCTGTATGTCAGACTTGTGCGATGTCCCCTGCAAGCTTTGTCTTTCAGTTGTTTTTCAGCTCTCCCCGTCTCCTTAATCTCCTGGCCAGATATCAGAGACTTGCATAGTGTCCCATGCAATAGTCATAATAGTTAGCAGTTATTCTGACACCCCCCAGATATCAGAGACTTCAAGGAAAAGCCTACAAATACATTTCCCTTCAGGCTCTCTATTGACATGAATTGCTAAAACATTCCTTTGCAAGATACAAGAACTATATACATTAACCACTCTGTTTTCCTTAGACTTGTGGTTATACAAGGGTATGTAAGACAGAAGGTCACATTCATCATACCATGCAGCCCTAGCACTGTTCCGTACTGACACGAACCAAATGAACATATCTCACACCAGGCTGATTCCTGCTCCCAGCCGTGTCTCCCTCTCTTCAGGCAGGCTGTCCTCTCCCACGAGCAGTGGAACAACTTCACTACCAGCAGTGGCCAGACCATGGGGTGCCCAGAAACCCTGCCCAGCTCCTGTACCTGGTGGAGAGAGTGAACAACAGAGAGTCACAAGCCCCTGCTGGCCCTGTGCTGGTGCACTGCAGGTACCGGGATGGGAATGCTCGGGTGCTGCAGCAAAGCTGGCCAGGGCAGCACCAACCTCTCTTTTTCTGTGTCCTCAGTGCTGGGATCGGGCGGACGGGTACCTTCATCGCCATGGATTTCCTCCTGAAGATGGCAAAGGCTGAGGGGAAGGTGGACGTCTTTCACTGTGTGCAGAAGCTGCGGGAGCAGCGGGTCAGCATGGTGCAGACCAAGGTGAGGAGAGTCGCCTGATCCCTGCACGCTGCCAGGCTGCAGATCTGCTTCACACCCTTCCCAGGGATGTGGTGAACCGAGCCACAGTGGACACAACTCTGTGCGGTTCAGCTACAGGCACTGGAGCTGCCAGGTGATGGACGCTGTGGGTTCTTGTATTCAACATGGTGTCCAAACCTAGGCAGGAGCCACATTCCTCTGAGACCCTCTGAAGTGGCAGCAGCAGCAGCAGCCACATGCACCAGTAGTCTGGCATGGAAGGGCAGTCTTATAGGCAACAAGCATGCGTGTGTGGCTTTCAGGATGTGTCCTTCAGGCTTTCGGGATGTTTGCCTGGCATCTTCTGGGCTGCAGTGTCCTGGGCAAGGGACTATGTCTTCACGATCTGTTCAGTGCTGTGATCCTGTGGAGGAAACTGTAGGTCGGGCAGGACCATCCAGCTACTTAAATCCAGCTACATACCAGTCTTCCTATATCAGGAGGACAAGTCCATTGGTTTTCTGGGCTTCCTTTGAGCTGAAGTCTGATCTGAGAGAGCACTAAACCAGAGGAAGATGCTCCTGACTGGGTTTTTGCATTTTCTGGCTGCTCCTTAGAGCAGGGCTGCCTGCACGGAGAGGTGTCCAGCAGGGAGGTGAAGGCTGGAGCTGGCACATTCCAGGTGCAGGTTGATGTCAGTGCAGAGCAGTCTGAGTGCCGGTGGCCTGGGGTCCCAGGGCTGTCCGTGGAGCTGCTCCAGATGGTGCACTGACCCGTGTCCCCACGCAGGAGCAGTATGCCTTCCTGTACGAGGTGCTGCTTGAAGGCCTGCTCTGCGGCAGCACTGGGGTCCCGGTGGAGAGCGTCGCCAGCCACATCCGCTGCCTCCAAGGGGCTGAGACCCAGAGCCAGAGCAACGTCCTTGAGAAGGAGTTCAAGGTACCACCAGGGCCTGGTGCGCTGGGTCTGGGGCCTCCTGCCACAGCCTTCACCCAGCTGCGGGCTGGAGATGTTGGTAGCACTTCTCTGGGGTGGATGGAGATGGAAAGGGAGCTGAGAGGCAGGACTCACTAAGCTAAATCATCCCTTACAGGCAGTGCAGAACTTCTCTGAGTTGTTCCAGCTCCTGCCGTGCAGAGAAGCAGAGAAACCCAGCAACCAGCCCAAGAACCGCAAACCAGGGATCCTGCCAGGTACTGCGGGGCTGGGCTGCCCCCTTCCTCCCAGACCCAGCTCCTGAGAACAGCAAGGGGGGCGATGCTGCTTCCCTCCCCAGCACCATGCTACCACCAGGGGATGGAGCATTCTGCACCAAGCATCACTTTTTGGTTGGCAATACTTGGTACCATTGAATCATCTAGGCTGGAAAATACCTTCAAGGTCATCGAGTCCAACCATCACCATGACCTACTGAGTCGGGAGGGTGGATTTACTGCTGCTTCAGGACTTTCCCCACCCGGATCCCCCTCTGTGCAGGCAGATGGCTCACCCCTTCTCTCTCTGCCCCTTGCCTCCACAGCGGATTCCTGCCGGCCCATCCTGATGTCCTCGCTGAATGCTGATGGCTCACCAGGCTACATCAACGCGGTGTTTGCCAACGTAAGGCTCCAGCTTCAGCAGGGCTTGGAGCTGCTGGGAGCAAGCAGAGGCTTCACAGGCACCACTGCCTGAGGCAGGGCTGGTCCGTGCCACCCCACCTCGAGGTGTGAGACAGCCCTGTCTCGCAGTGCCTGGAGCCCTGCTGCCAGGAGATGGCCCTCATGATCAGCCTAAGCCCTGCCAGCACGCTCAGATCAGCCACTGCCTTTCGCCTGCTGGGTGCTCTGCATCTCCTCGGGCTCTGCCCCTGGGTCTTCAGAGCCTTCCAGTCCAGCCTTCAGCATCGTGGAGGCTGCTCAGTGTGGTTATTGCAGGCACTGCTCTATCTGCGGATTGTGTGACCTCTAAATTCACACACACGCCTCCCAACCGGTGTGTTTTGCAGACGTACACCAAGGAGGACAGGCTGATCATCACCCAGCTGCCCTTCTCCAGCACGCTGGTGGATTTCTGGGCTCTGGTCTGGGATTACACCTGCACGGCGGTGGTTGTGCTGAACCAGCTCCAGGAGCTGGACAAGGTCAGCTGCCCTCCCCTCTCCCTGCAGCCTGCTTTCTGCCTTCGCCCCCCCATGCAGCTCTCCTTGCCGGGGTCCTGCTTGCCATGGGGATGAGCTGCAAGCCTCTGGGCTCCACGTGGCTGCGCCCTGAGAACAGCCCCAGCCCTGTGGAATAACTGGTACAACAGTGGTGAGGCGTCCCCACAGGCACAGGAAGGAGTAACAGGGGCAGCCCTTTGGTTTTTGGTGTTATTTTTCTGGCTGCAGCCCCACGGATTTGTCCCAAGCACAAAGCAGGCAGAGCACCCACGTGTAGGCAGGGGGCTGCCCCAAATGCACCCACACGAGCTGCTGAACTCCACGTGGGGGTCAGGGCGTTGTGTGACCATGCATATGTCTCCCCCAAGACATATGTGGAGGTCTGGCCCACCCAGGGCGAAGCCATCTACGGCCGGTTCCACGTCCAGCTGCTGTCAGAGGAGCCTGGAGCTGGTTTCACAGTCTGGACACTCGCCCTCACCAACAGGCAGCAGGTAAATTCTTTGTGCAAGCTGAGCCAGGCCCACACTGTCCTGCCTCTCCTCCACGAAGCCAGTGGGCTTCTTCTCTGCCTGACCCACTGTCTTTCTTCCCTCCTAGCCCAAGAAGGCTGCGGTGGAAGTCCGGTTCTGGCAGCTGGAGGACTGGCCCATGAAGCAGCATCTTCCCCCGCACCCTGCCACCATCATCAGCCTGCTGGGGAAGGTGGAGACACACCAGCGGCAGTGCCAGGACGGACACATCCTCGTCACTTGCTGGTGAGAAATATCTTTTGGAGGAGCAGCCTGTGCCACAGTCCAGCTGTATCCTTCAAAACAGCTCACAGCTCCTGTCTCAGCTCGGGTGAAGTGTGGGCATGAGTTCTTCTGGCTGGTGGGACACCAGGATATGTAGGGTAAGTGCCTCCCCTTGCTCTGCCCTGCAGGGATGGTGCCAGCCGGAGCGGGATCTTCTGTGCTGCCAGTTTCCTGTGTGAGCAGATCCAAAGCGAGGGGCTGGTGGATGTATCCCAGGCTGTGAGGATGCTGAAGAGGCAACGCAGGCAGCTGATTAAAGACGTGGTAGGTGCTGACCAAACTCGGACGGGGGTGGCAACACCAGAGCAAGAACTGGTCTATGCCTGGGTGCCTGTCCTGCACCCACCTCACCACCAGCTCCAGGAACATTGTGGTCTACGTGGACCATTGATGTCCTCAAGGCTGTCACAGTGTACACATCCTGGATGGGAGTGAGCAGCAGCCACCTGGTGGTGCTGGCTCCCCTAGGATCAGCCCAGCCTTCATCCTACATTCACCAAGCCTACATTTGTGATTCCTCACTGGGGGCAGAGGAGAGGGGGCTGAACCTCTGCCTGGCTTGTTCGGGGGGCTGTTGGCAACCAGGCTGGCCTTCTGTGACAGGCATTTGGGCACCACATACTCACCTGCATCCTTTTATCTGCAGGAGCAGTACAGACTCTGCTATGAACTAGCCCTCAGTTACTTGAACTCGTTTGAAACCTACGGCAATTTCAAGTAGAGGCATGGTCACAGCCCATCTCTGGACAGGACTTCAGCTTTCTTGAGGAAATGGTGGAAACCAGAGGAGAGGAGAGGAGGAGGGTGTGCACAGCCCCGCGATGCTTTACTCTTCCGATGAGCCACCCCAAGTATTCTCTGCAGCTGCACAGCTCAGCCTGGACTGTCTCCAAACTGTGGTCAGACTTTGAAGCAGGAACCAGAGTTTGGGCAGGAATTTACCTAGCACCACAGCCCAATAATGCAGATCAGAGGAGAGGCACCAGTACTTGACACGTCCACGCTAGGGACGAAGAGAACCCGCTGCCCCAGCCAGGCTCCCCTACCCCTTCAGGGTAGCTCCACCAACACCCCATGTTCAGTCAGGGCAGCCCCAAACCCCTGTGAGATCCACAGGGCTGAGCAGCACAGGCCTCCTGTCCTGCTTCAAGAGAAGCACAAAGCCCAAGGCTGTGAAGAGCCATGGGAGGGACAATCCACCACCCCAGAAGGTTATCCTGGTCCTTTCCACCCCCCGCAGACCCCTTCTGAAGCTCCATCTTCCCGACGTTGATCCAGGTGCCCTACCAGCTCCAGAGGGGCTCCCTCCCCAGCCTGTCTGGCTCCACCGTGGCAGTGCCAGGTTGCAGCACCAACCCAGATCCCCGGACGTTGTTCCTGCAGGTTACTGCCCAGGAGAGGCTGCAGCACCATGGAGACTGCCTCTCCCTTTGCGGCTCAAGAGCCAGGATTGACTCTGTACTCTATTCCATGTCTCACCAATAAAGGCTCTGTGCTGGCCATGGTGGGGATGAGCTCTGATCTTCACTTCTTTTCCAGGTTTTATCTGACATGGGGGCTGCAAAGGAGCTAAGGTCCCCCAGCTCTGGCCAAGGCATGGGCACAGGGCCATGCCTGTGTGGTAGAGGGCTTCTCAACAAGGCGCAGTTAATTCAGCACCCTACAGGGAGCATGACTCTGTAAGGGCAAGGAGACGACAAGGCAGGAGCTGTAGTGGGGCAGGCAGTCCCCTCCAAACCGCATTTATTGGTTGTCTGGACAGAGCAGGCAGAGCAGCAAGGGCAGTGCAGTCACACCACGCTCGAGCAGAGCCCTGGGTTTGGCTGGATTTCAGCACACAGAGGCGGAGAGGGGTGGGGAGCCCAGGACATGGCAGGAGCACAGGCTGTCCCTCAGCCCGAGCTTCAATCTGAGTCAAAGGATGTGTCCAGTTCCTGCTTCCAGGAAAGCAAAATCAAAGTCTAGAAAAGGGAACTGCAGAAAGCCTCATGAAATAGTGCCGGGCCTTTCAACAGCAAGCAAAAGCTGGGGAGTGGAGGGGGTCGGGGGAGAAGAAGCTGGCGACCCTCCGTGGCTTCCTACTTTCCTCCTGCTCTGCTGAACTGGATGGGACCCCCGGTGCTGGTGATGGTCTCAGGAGAGCCGGGTGCCCAGCAGCTGGCAGCACTGATCCAGGGACGACCACCCCATCTCCGTGACCATTGCCCAGTCCTCTGGGACAGGCAGGGGCTGTGAGGACAGCTCTCCAGCCTGGCCACCTTGGGGCTGGGGCAAATGGGGGTACGTGTTAGAGAATGGGGTGAGCAGATGTTCCTCCTGAGGGCCAGCCCCACCCAGGAGAGCTCTGCTTTGTGACGATGTGATGACAGCCCAGGGAATGGCATTTTTCTACCTTTTTAATTGTTGTCCTTAGCTTTGATGGGAACATCCTTCCTTCTCCTGCAAGGACAAAGGGCAGTTGTGAGTGACAGGCTGGTGTCACCCAGGGTCCTGCTGAACCAAAGTCCCCAACCAACGCACCTGGACACCACGAACCATACGATGCCTGCACACAGGAGCAGCAGCAATATCAGCACAACCACCCCGATGACGATCCCGGTCCATGAGCCAGGGGGCTGTCCTGCAACTAACACACAGCCAGCAGTGGGTGCCATGAATCTCAAATGGCCCCAGCCATGGCAACGAATCTGTGCAAGTGTATAGAGGTGTCTGTGCACTCATGTACTGTGTGGGATGGAGGATCACAGCCACTTATGAGAAAACAGAGGTGTCCTATGCCCCACAGGGAGCTCCTGCACTCGCCAGCCCCTGACCACAGCAAGATGCCAGGCTGGGAAAAGGGAGGATGTGGCAGAGAGCCTCGGGTACAGGGCACGGGATGAGCCAGCCCCTCCGCGGAGGAGCCCACTTACCCATAGAGAAGCTGTAGCACATGCAGGTGAAAGTCTCCTCCTGTTGGGAGAAGCAGAGTTCAGAGCAGAGGGCTGCCACCCAGGGCCACCATGTCCCCTGACAGCAGCGTCCCCAGGGAGCTGCAGCCTCCGGCCACGGGTACCTGCTGGGAGCGCTGCTCGAGGCGCAGCAGGGCGGTGTAGTCCCAGCCCGGGCGCAGGGGAGCGTTGTGGAAGCCGTGCCCGCGGGTCCCGTCGCCCAGCACGAAGTCCGTTTGGGCACTGAGGTTGAGCACGGCGGCCACATAGGTATCGGGTGGGTGGCTGGCATTGAAGGGCTGCGGCTCCCCTGAGCAGGCATCTTCCAGCGCCGTGCTGTTGTGCGTCATGGCCACGAGGAGCTGGTGCTCGCTGCAAGGCAGGGCTGTGAGACGGGGCTGGGGACAAAGAGCTGGAAGGAGGCAGCTGCAGGTGTGAGCGCTGCTCGGGGCTGTGCAGAGCAGGGGCTGCACTCACCTGGCCGCCCCGGGGACCCAGGGGATGGGGCGGAGGCGAAGCACGGCCGTGCCCTGGGAGGGGGAGATGTCGCGCACGAGGCGGGAGCTGGCATCAGGAGGGGCTGCGGTGTCTGTGCAGGAAGAGCCAGGGACGAGCATCAGCAGGAGGCCCGGCGAGGCAGGGCAGGGCTGGGGGCAGCGCACGCACACCCTTACCCGAGCCGTTGCTCTGAAAGGTCCCCAGCAGTGCTGCCCCGGCCCCGGCAGCCGTCAGGCCCCGCACGGCCACCGTGTATCTGGTGCCAGGGCCGTGCGCAGGCAGCGGGTGCTCCGTGACGGAGCTGCTCAGCCTCAGCCGCTCGACCTGGAGGAAGCCGCCGTCCTGCGGGCCCCAGGCGGTGACGTTCAGCTGGGGACAGGACACGGAGCTGGAGGGGAACGTGCCCAGCACACAGCCAGCCACAGCCCAGCAGTGCCTGCAGCTGGGAAGCTTCCGGAGAGACGCCCCGGGAACCTTGGCCCCACGCGTGGACCTCAGCGCAGACCGGAGGAGGACAGGGGGGAATTTGGGGCCAGCACTCGAAGCAAGAGCAATCTGCTGCACCACAGACACCCCTGCAGCAGCAGCAGCTGCAGGTGGAGCTGCTCAGAGCACTCTTCTGCTCTCCAGGCTGATTTCCAAGGCATCCTCAGTGAGGCTGCATCACATCCAGTCCCCACGGGGAGACTCCTACAGGTTGGGTGCTGCACTGGCCCCCTTCCTCCTGCTCCCAGCACTGCACACCACAGCCTTTCCTGTGCCACAAACCAGAACTAAGGCCCCTGAGGCACAGGAAAGCCCATGAGGCTGCGCCACAAGACACGTCACAAGGTGCTGCACACAGAGCCCCAGCGTCTGCCAAACCACAGGCTGTGCAGAGCTGGGGAGGAAACCCCCTGGCACCCACAGCCCCTGCAGGCAGCACAGCAGCAGGAGAAACATGAGAGGGAGGCAGAAATGCTCAAACGTATCACAGCAGCTAGAAAATCAGCCAGGGGGGTGGACTTCAAGGTCCTCAAGGATTTCCCACGGTCTGCCACCCGCCTGTGTCCAGCACCCACCCTGAGGCACCTGATGAAGCGCAGAGCCCACGGGCAGCCCCCACTCCCCTGGTACCTGGAACCCGAGGATCTCCCCTTTGCAGGAGGGCAGTGCCTGCCACTGCAGCGTCCCCGTGCTGGCATCCAGCCACAGCCGCTCCGGCTTCTCGGGCACTGGAAGCACAGCGAGAGGGGGTCAGGCATGGGGACGCCCACCTGGGGCTGAGCCCGCAGCTGGGTGCCCGTGGCTCCTGGTGCCAGTGGGGACAGGGTGCTCATGATCAGCTGCTGTGTGAAGAAGGCATTTATCTGCCTCCCCCACATGTGAAACAGTCCAGGAATGTCCCTCCTCTCTTGGACTCCCCTGTGGACACCCACCTGTTTCTTTTGTCCTGATCACCCATTTGAACAGGACGGTGCTGGGGGGCACTGTGATGGTGACACTGTAGTCAGTGAAGGGCTGCAGATGGTCACAGGTAAATGTTCCATTCTGGCCGTGCAGTATCTCCTGTGCCGTGACCTCCTCAGCCTCACAGGACGGGGAGGAAGGCCCTGCCAGCCTGCACGTGGCCTGCATGCGCTGGCAGGCATCGGGCAGACTGCAGGTCCAGTTCAGTTTGATGCTGGTGGTGAAAGCCTCCCAGGTCCCAGGCACGAAGACCTCTGTGAAGGAAGCATTGAAGAGGGTCACTGCCTTGCCTTCCCTTCCCCTGGCACCCTTGCAAGGTGCTGCGGCCACAGCCCTGCTCCCACCCTGCAGCGGGGAGAGGAAGCCGGAGGTGACACTGCCCACGGCAGGTCTCCAGCTGCAGAGCTGGAGGAGTTCAGACAGGAACAAATGCGGTTGAGTGTGTGGGCTACCATTGCTCAAGGCAATCTTCACTACTGAGTCATAACCCAGCGGTGTCAGTGTCACCCAGCAACGCTGTGTTCAAACAGACTGTGCTCCTAGACCCAGCCCTTCCTGGCTGTGCCCATGCCACAGGAGAAAGGTTCCCTGGCACACTACAGTGAGGGATGGAGCTGCAGGACACAACTTGGAGCAGCTTCTGCAGCACGGCCCCAGGAAGGGGATGAGGGCAGGAAGGGTCAGCTCCAGCCACTGCCCCCGGCCGGCTGCCGCAGCCCCTCCTGCCGGGACCCTCGGGCACAGAGGCTGCCACCAGGCACCACTGAGAATCCAGGGCAGGCGCAGGGGCTGCCTCCCACTGCCTTTGGCATCTCCCCCTACATCCCCCAGCACTCAGGGGCCCCAGGAGAGCTCCTGGCACCTCTCTTACCCACACACTGCACCATGGAGCGAATGCGGGTCCAGGCACCTCCCGTGCCCTTTCCCTTCCAAACTTCTCTGTACACAGGCTTCCCAGCGCTGATGGACTGGACTTCTCTTGAACATTTGATGTAGGTGAAAGATGGATGCAAACCCTCGGGGCAGCTCAGCGTCACTTCTTCGTTCTCCTTGTACACCTCCTGGTCTGGTGCCAGACGGAGCCTTGGGTCCCACGAGGGCTTTCGGCACGTTTCTGGCAGGGACAAAAGCAGGTGAGACACCTCCTGCTCCAAGGGACACTGCCCCCTCCATGGAGCGTGACAGCCCATAGCTCACAGAGGCTTTCCCAGCACACTGAGCCTTGCTGCCCTCCCTCCCCAATCCCAGCTGCACCCCACCCTGCTACAGGCATCGCCTCCAGCCCCTGCGGTACAGCTGCCGCGTGGTGCCGTGGCTGAAGATGCTCACCAGAATTGGAGCTGAAAGAGCAGAAAAAGCTTCTCCTGCAGAGAGGAGCGGACACTTCTTACCTGGTTCCCGGGGTGCTCCTTGGGTCTTGGGACCAGTATCTTCCTGTGTTCCCAGCAGCGGGACGAGGACCAGGAGGAAGCTCAGAGCCAGCAACTGCAGGGCCATGCTAGCATCCAGTGCCCGGGCACAACTCAGCCCTCAGCCCCACTTGCTGCCTCCAGGCACTGGCAGCTGTGATTGCAAGAATTGCAACCAGAGGAAGGAAGCAGCCGCATGAGCAAGTCGTATGTGGTGAAAGAGCCTTCCTCTTTGAGGAGGGATCCTCCCATCGGTGTCAGCACTGCTGCCTTTTGCTGCTTTCCTTCCCCACGGACACCCTGGCACTGGCACTCCCCAGAGCCCCAGCCACCAGGATCCCAGAGCTTCACCCCACAGAGCTCCTTGCTGCCAGAGCGCGTTCACCAAACGCCACTCACGTTCCTGAGGCTTCTGCCACACGCTTCCCAAAGCCTCTTCATGCACACGTGGCTTCTGGAGATGTCACAGGTCACAGCACTTCCCCTCAGTAATCACAGCTGTTTGACGTCTTCCAAGACACTGTTAGAAGAGCAGCCAAAAGCCAGGTGTAGGAAGGATAGGGGAACTGAGAGGAGTCCCTCAAAACCCTCACACAAAGCTCCTTCAGAAAGACACGGCCAACAAACACCGCGTGTTGCCCTTCCCCTCAGCTCTGTCCCCAGCTGCCTCCTCCTCCTCCCCCTCAGCAGGGAATATTGTCTGTCCCCATCCAACCAAGCACCCTGCCCTCCAGTGCCAGCTGAATGCCTCAGGAAACCCTCGGAGCTGCTCAATCCTCCCTCCCACTCCTAAGCACTACTGCTTTTCTCTTCCTCCAGAAACAGGCCCCCAGCCGTGTCCTGGGGATCACTGGGATGTTGTCTGTGGAAGACAGCCAGCTCTGCTGCTTCTTCAAACGGCCCCGTTCACCACCAGGCTCTGAGCCCTGCTCTTCAGCCCGTTCATCACCCAGTGCAGTGTGAACATGCTCAGCCCATCCTCCAGCAGTGTGCTGCTCAACAAGGAGAGCCTCTGGGCTGACCTTCCATGTCTGGGATGTTCCAGGCCCTGGTGTCCGGGGGGGGATAGGGAGGACAGAAAGCAGCTCCTCACCACAACCAGAGCTCTGAAGATCCTCAGGCCTGCTGCTGAGGGGTCTCAGAGGAGCTTAGGAAGGACAGCTCTGGGCTCATCTCCCACGTCCTGCGGGAGATGACTTGAGCCAAAGGGGAACAGTTGGGCCTCCATCACCACGCAGGCAGACAGCCCGCTCACAGCCTTCTGCAAACCACAGGCCTTTATTGCTTGTCCCAACAGAGCGGGCAGAGTGGGGTAAAGCATGTGGGCATCGAGGAGGTGGAAGGAGCACAAACCGCCCCTCAGGTTCCCCATCTCACAAACCCGCTCATTCCCCGTTGGCTTGAGCCCACCCTTTCCCTCTCGGCCCGATATCCATGGGGAGCAGCTCCAGCAGAGCACGCAGGCCACACCAACAATGTGCTTGGTCCCAGAGGCCGGACACACTCCCTAGGATGAGGGGCAGATGCATCCAGAGCACTGGAGGACACACAAAACCTGAGAACGACCTGGGCGTGATGGTTGATAGTCGGCTGAATATGAGCCAGCAGTGTGCTCAGGTGGCCAACAAGGCCAACGGCATCCTGGCTTGTATCAGAAACAGTGTGACCAGCAGGGCTAGGGAGGTGATCGTCCCCCTGTACTCGGCTCTGGTGAGGCCGCACCTCGAGTACTGTGTTCAGTTTTGGGCCCCTCGCTACAAGAAGGACATCGAGGTGCTCGAGTGGGTCCAGAGAAGGGCGACGAAGCTGGTGAGGGGCCTGGAGAACAAGTCCTACGAGGAGCGGCTGAGGGAGCTGGGCTTGTTCAGCCTGGAGAAGAGGAGGCTCAGGGGCGACCTTATCGCTCTCTACAGATACCTTAAAGGAGGCTGTAGTGAGGTGGGGGTTGGCCTGTTCTCCCATGAGCCTGGTGATAGGACGAGGGGGAAAAGGCTTAAGTTGGGCCAGAGGAGTTTTATGTTGGATGTTAGGAAGAACTTCTTTACTGAAAGGGTTGTGAGGCACTGGAACAGGCTGCCCAGGGAAGTGGTGGAGTCACCATCCCTGGAGGTCTTTAAAAGACGTTTAGATGTGGAGCTTAGGGATATGGTTTATTGGGGACTGTTTGCGTTAGGTCAGAGGTTGGACTCGATGATCTTGAGGTCTCTTCCAAGCTAGAAATTCTGTGATTCTGTGAAAACACGCCTTCGCTGGCACAGGCCGTGGGCAGCTCCTGCCCTGTAGCAGAGGGTGCTGGTGACAGACGAGAGAGGAAATGGGAGGGGAAACAATAACCCAGCACAGGCTGTACGAGGTCCTGCTTACAGCTGGGGAGCACCAAAACTCGAGAAAGGGCCATGAGGAGGCCTCCAAAATGCCGGGCCCAGGAGCACCCAGTGCCTCTTCCCACGGTCAGACTGGGAAGCCTCTCGCACCGCTGCCTGTCCAGGCAAGGCCAGGAGGGCTGAAGAGGGCAGTGTCTTCGTGCCCTGAAAGAAATGGCCGCAGTCCTCTTGCTCTGGTTGCCCGGACGAGACCCCCAGTGCTGGTCACAGTCACACGAGAGACGGGGTCCTGGCAGCCACCAGCACTAAGCTGGGGTCGTCCTCCCCGCGGTCTCTGCTCTCTGACACCCGCCGTGGTCTCCCAGCGTCCTGCGCAGGGACGGGGACGGTCGCTCTCCAGCCCGGCCACCTCTACCTGCGGACACCAACAGCACCCAGGGCAGAGGCTGCTGCCAGCCCTCGGCAGAGCTCACGCTGCCACAGCCGTGAGGGTCTGAGACAGGCCGGAGCGCTGGGCACTGCCTGGCACCGCCACGGCCCTTTCCTCGGGTCGCTCTCGACCCTCTGCCCCATACATGTGTGGGGGCCATCTCCTACCTGCTTCTTCTTCGGCCAGAAACCTCTCCTTGATCACACAGTAGTGGTCCGAGTTTTCATAGGGCTGGAGCTCTGCAGGGGACGAAACAGCCTGAGGAACCCAGGGCTGCAGGAGGAGGAGCAGCGCAGACCCGGGCAGGCAGCGGCACAGGGTCCGTGGGGGTCTCCTGGCAATGACCTGCCCTCCTTATACCCTGGCCCCGCTTCCCTGGCCGTACCTGTGTAATGGTCCTCCTCGGCTTTCCTGGGCAAGGCTTTCCTCCTCCTGGGAAGGCAAAGGGGTGTCCTGAGGCTGGGCAGAGGCTGATGGGGCTGCTGACTTGCAGACCCAGCCAGGAGCTCACCAGCCAAGCCACAGGAGGACCAGCTGCAGCCCCCATAGCACCCGGAAAAGGGTGAGAGCAGTGCAGAAAGCCCCCTCTGTCACCAGCCACCCTGTTAGCCCAGCATGGCCTGAGGCAGAGCAGCGACTCTGAGTTCCCTGCCTATTCACCTGCACATCACAAACCCCAGGATCCCAGCAAGAAGCATGACCATCGCTGACAGCACAGCCACCACGGTGACTGCAGTCCATGGCCAGGGGCCTGGAGGCTGCCCTGCAAAGAAGCACACAGCCAGCAGTGGGTGCCACAGCCGGGGCCATTCACCCAAACCCTGGCACTGGGTGTCAGTCTGGAAGAACTTCCAAGCCGGTCTGGACAGCACGACTGGGCTCCACAGCCAAGATCCACAGCCTTAGCGTTCTCCGGCTGTGAGCCCCAAGGGTCCCTTCAGGCAGGGCTGGGCACCATCTTCTGTACTGGAAGAGAGGGGCCAGCTCTGCTCACACAGACCCGAGTAGGGTCTGAAGCAATGCCACAGCTCTGGGGCCAGGGCACTATCTTGTATGGCACAGGGTGCACAGACAGACACCAGCCTAAGCAGGCCCGTGGCACAGAAACCTTTACCCAAGACACTGGGTTGAAATTCCAGGTAGGAAGCATCCCCGGCACCAGCAGCCGTCAGGCCCTGGACTGTCACTGTGTACTTGCTGCTGGGCATCTGACGAGGTGGCGTGTACTGGGTGACAGAGCTGTTCACTGTCACCTGCTGGAATTCCAGGAAGCTGCCGTCCTGCGCGCTCCTGGCCGTGACGTTCAGCTGCAGGAAGGACAGGAGCTGATGGGGACCAGCACCCGGCTCCCACCCGGCCCTGTAGGGGACAGCAGGGTCCTGATCTCACCACAAACACCCCTCTCCCTGCTGCCTGCATCCCACTCCCCTGGTACCTGGTACCCGAGGATCTCCCCTTTGCAGGAGGGCAGCGCCTGCCACCGCAGCGTCCCCGTGCTGGCATCCAGCCACAGCCGCTCTGGCTTCTCGGGCACTGGAAGCACAGCGAGAGGGGGTCACGCACAGGGACACCCACCTGGGGCTGAGATTTTGGGGAGAAAAGCAAAAGTACCTTGACAGGCAGGGGACACTTACCTGTTGCCTTTGTCCTCAGGAGCCGTGTGAACAGGATGGTGCTGGGGGGCACTGAGATGTTGACACTGTAGTCAGTGAAGGGCTGCAGGTGGTCACAGGTAAATGTTCCATTCTGGCCATGCAGCATCTCCTGTCCTGTGACCTCCTCAGCCTCACAGGACGGGGAGGAAGGCCCTGCCAGCCTGCACGTGGCCTGCATGCGCTGGCAGGCATCGGGCAGACTGCAGGTCCAGTTCAGTTTGATGCTGGTGGTGAAAGCCTCCAAGGTCCCAGGCACGACCTGGAAGGCCTCTGTGAAGGAAGCATTGAAGAGGGTCACTGCCTTGCCTTCCCTTCCCCTGGCACCCTTGCAAGGTGCTGCGGTCACAGCCCTGCTCCCAGCCAGCAGCAGGGAGAGGAAGGCGGAGGTGACACTGCCCACGGCAGGTCTCCAGCTGCAGAGCTGGAGGAGTCTGGATCACTGGAAGCTGGGCGTGAGCTTTGCATCACCTCTCAGTGCTCGAGGCAACTGCTGGTGGGAGCAGACCCCTGGCTCCGTCCCCTTGCTGCCTGGCAGCGGGCTCAGCCCCTCGGGAGGGAAATGCTCCCACGGGTGCTGGCCCTCTCGCCACAGAGCGTACCCGCACCCAGCTGGCAACCTCCATGCGTGCCTCTGAAACAGGGCCAGCAGCACTCTGCCATCGGGACCACCCTTCCCTCTTAAATGCACCTCCTCACTCACCCTCGCACAGCCAGTAATCTTCAGGCTGCCAGTAGTCAGTGCCTTCATTCAAAACCCAGGACGTCTGAAGAGTTGGAGAGCTTTCGCCTGGGATATCTACACAGGCCATCTCCATGGCAGGAGGCCAGTACCCTTCAGGGCACCTCACCATCACCACTTCATTGAGGACGTAGGATGCCATGTCTGGGACAAAGATTAATCTGGGGTCCCAGTGGGGCTTCTGGCATTTTCCTGCAACAACAAGAAGGGAAGGTGCTAGCAGGGCAGGGGCTGGCCATGCAGGGCAAGGCAGGGGACGTGGCAGGAGATCCCTGCCCTGGCACGCTACGGTGAGGGATGGAGCTGTGGGACACGATGTGGAGCAGCTTCTGCAGCACGGCCCCAGGAAGGGGATGAGGGCAGGTCTCCAACTCTGCAGCCACCAGCCCCCTCCCCACCCAGGCACCCCTGGGAATCCAAGGCAGGCACAGGGGCTGCCTCCCACTGTCTTTGGCATCTCCCCCTATATCCCCCAGCACTCAGGGCCCCAAGAGAGCTCCTGGCACCTCTCTTACCCACACACTGCACCATGGAGTGAATGCGGGTCCAGGCACCTCCCGGGTCCTTTCCCATCCAAACTTCTCTGTACACAGGCTTCCCAGCGCTGATGGACTGGACTTCTCTTGAACATTTGATGTGGGTGAAAGATGGCTCGAAACCCTTGGGGCAGCTCAGTGTCACTTCTTCGTTCTCCTTGTACACCTCCTGCTCTGGTGCCAGATGGAGCCTTGGGTCCCTCCAGGGCTTCTGGCATGTACCTGGGTGAGGCAAAAGTGGATTTAGTTGGGGTGTGGGTGCTGAGGTGGGGCAGGGTACCGCCAGCTATCAGCAACCACCAGCAGTCCCTCCAGACACCAAAGGGAGACAGAAGGAGAGCCGTCCATGTGCCATGACGTGTCCCCCAGCAAGCCTTGCTGGGAGGGAGGGGGCTCCCCTTGTCACTTGCCCACAAAATCCCTTCTCCACCCCATTTCCATGCTTGTTCTTTGCCCCCCACCACATCCCACAGCCGGCAGCTTCCCAGGACAATCCCACCTGCAGCAGGAGACCCCCTGCAGCCGCTCTCTGGAGCTGACCCCAAGCCCAGCTCAGGCTGCCCTTCACCTCGCCGTGCCCTGGCACCAGAGGAGCCACAGGGCCACGGGGCTCCAGGTGAGGCACCTCCTGTCACCCCACTTACTGATGCACATTGTGGGGCTCTGAATGAGGACCCATTTCCCCAACTCGTTTTTCTGTGTCCAGGTGCCCTTGTGCTCCCCTTTAGGCACAGCCCGAGGTCTCCATGCACATTTAGCCTGCTGGAAGGGGAGCAGGGAACCCTCTGGGCAGCTCAGCGTCACTTCTTCGCCCTCCTCATAGACGTCCCGCTCTGGTGCCAGACGAAGGTCAGCGTCCCACTGGGGCCTCGAGCATTTTACTGTCAAAGGCAAATTTGTGTGAGAGCGGGGCCAGGAGGCTCGGGGAGGCCAGAACCAAGGCCGTGAGGAAACCCGAGGGGTGCTGAGCCCAGGACAGCAGCGTCACAGGGAGCAGTGGGGAAGGAGGGTGCTCTGAGGGGGGAGCTCCTCAGCAGCCGGCAGGGCACCGCAGCGCCAAGCAGGGGCTGGGGCGGGAGTGTGAGGGCAGAGAGGGGATGGGGAGAGCTGCCCCGCGTACCCACGCACGCTACGGGCTCCTCAATGCGGGTCCAGGCACCTCTGTCTCTCCTCCCCCACCAGCTGTCCCCATAGACAGGTTCTCCTGAAGTCACTCCTTGAAATTCCCTCACACATTTGGCACTGGTGAAGGAGGGCTTGACACCTTCAGGGCAAGACAGCCTCAGTTCCTCATTCGGTGTGTAGCTGCCTTTCCTTGGGACGAGCATGACCCTTCTGTCCCACAGGGGTTTCTGGCATGTTCCTGCAGGGGAGAAAGCGTGACAGTCCTCCTTGGGGACGGGGTGCTGGGGCAGGAGGGGGCTGAGGCTGGACCACGACTGCCTGCGGGGTCATCTGTCAGCAGAGCCCCTGGGTGCGGGACAGGAGCCCCGCGGGGCTGTGAGGTGCTCAGAGCAGCAGGGCTGAGGGCAGGATCTGGCCACAGCTCAGGCAGGGCAGAGGCAAGGCCGGGCCCCGCTGGGGGCTCCTGTCCCGGCCCAGCTCGGGGGCTGCTCCCGGCCGGGGCCATCCCAGAGCCGAGCCCGAGGCATCCCACGGGCACGGTGAGACGCCAGGGGCCCTGCTGACGGAGAGGAGCCCGCGGCAGGGGAGAGCTGCTGCCCCCGACTCACCTGTGCAGGCCTGGTACATTTCAATGTTATGCCACCTTCCCTGCTTGTCCTTCACTTTCCAGGCATGTCCCCAGCCGATCCATTCAACACATCTGATCACAGCGAGAGGAGGATCATCCTCAGTGAGGCAGCTCAGTGTCAGCTCCTCCCCGTCATCATAAGATGTCTTCTCTGGGACAAAGCGGAGGCTTGAGTCCCACTCAGGCTTTGCGCATCCTGCACAGAGAAGAAGGAGAGCGTGTCAGTGGGATGGGAAGAGCCAAAGCTGATGGGCCTCTCCAGGGGTTTGTGCCTCGTTGCAGGGCACATCCCGGCAGAGGCAGGGGTAACGCTGCACAGCACGTGGGGCTGGCCCCTTCCTCCAGGCTGGAGCTCCGGGAGTGCTCCGAGAGAGCAGGGAAAGGAGCACTGGGCTTCCAGCCCTGGAGGGATTCACAGCATGCCCGAGCATGGAGGCACTCAGAGCACAGCAGGGCCGCCCACAGGCCCCAGACACAATGAAGGTGAAGCTTCAGCGAGGCCAACACGGTGCAGGAGGGCAGCTGGCAGGCTTTGAGCAGCAGGAGGTGAGGTTGGTGTTTCGGGAAGCTGTGCTGTGGAGCGGGAAGTGGCAGCACGGGGCAGCATGCAGCTCACAGCCGGGGTGTGCGGCCCCACGGGGCTCCTCCACGGCCTCCCTTGGGCTTTCGCTGCCCCAGGATTATCCTTGAGCCCCTTCTGGCAGCTCAACTCCACTAACACAAACTGTTTGTTTGAACAGAGCCTCGTTCTACCTAGCGCTGGGCATTGCTGCTATGGCTCCTGGGCGTCTGCGAGTGAATCATGGCCAAACAGAGCCAGCCCTGCAGGAAAACATCCCCTGCAAGCTTCTCCACCTCCCTGCTGGGCACAACGGGGCTGTAAGAGCACGAGGCCTTGGTACAGGCATTGAGTAAAGCTCTGAGCAGTGTGCCACGGCTCTTCCACTGTCCCCTGGCCTGTGCCCCTCTCCCTGATTGTACCCTGTGTAATACACCCTAAATGTTTGTTCGTTGTCTTTTGTATTAGAAAAGCAAGGAGTTCTGTTTGAGGAGCGGGAGTTGCGAAAGCTCCCTGCTGAAGGAAGGAGCTGTAGAATGCTTGGCTAGACACTATGAAACTTCTTTTGCTTAATGTAAGAAAAAAGAGAACCCCCTCCCCTTCTCTCCTTCTGCATCTCAGTTGCCTCTTGTGTTCAAAGACACTGTTGCAAAGCTCAGGTAACCATCTCCTGATAAGTTGCTAAAGTAGTGTGTCAACATCCTGCCTTCCTGTGTTGCGCTGGGCCAACATGACCAAATAAAAAAAGAAGATGAACCACAGCGCCAAGGAAGACCAAGGCCTTCATCTTCACGACCACCAGAGGGACAGAGACGACCCGCTAGCAACAGTGCGCGCAGTCGCAGAACATACCAGGATGTGCTGCGTAATCCTGGAATTACCGAGATCTAAGAAGGGACCCTGGCGGGGGTGAGGTGCGCGCCGTTGGCAGAGCAGAGACTCCCCGGCCACCCAGCGCTGTTTTGCTTGCTGTTTGCTTACTCAGTAAATTCCTTTCTATTATTAATGCGATGCTCTCTGAAAATTAATTAAGGGGGCAACTTATAACACCCCTCACGTGCCTGCAGGGCTGCCCGTGCCTCTGGGAGTGGCCAAGAAGCGTTCGTGTTTCGATTCCTTTTTCACAAACACCAAGGTGCAAACTCAGCAATACCGTCTCCGCTGCAGGCAACCCCAGAGTTGTCCTAGGACGGTCGGGTGACCGAGACGTGCAGAGCACACCCAGGACAGCTTGGGTGGAGGATTTGGGAAAGGGGCAGGGGGATGTCTTCTGCTGCGGGCTTTGCCCTTGGTTTTCCAGTGATGGCGTGCTGTGCTCACACTCCCTGTCCCTCCAGGGGCACAGCTCCCCTGGCCTATGCCATGCAGCACAGACCCTGCTGTCCCCCACCTGGCCTGAGTTCAAATCAACACCTGAAAAAAAACAGTCCCATTTTGGGGCCCTGGTGACAGCCAGGGTCCTTGACTTGCGGGCTCCTCCAGCCTGTGCCAGCCCAGGGACATACATGTACATACAGCAGGTCCCTACAACGTGAGCACGTGCTAACTGAACATTTGTTGCCCCCCAGCTGCAGCAAGGTGAGTTTAGAGACGGCCTCCAGGTCAGATGGATGCAGAACAAGGCAGGGCGATGGTCCCCAGAGCTGGGCTCAGGCCCCAGGCCGTGCTGCCCTGGATGGGTTCACCACCTCCTGCAAGCTCAGATAGCACCTGGCCCTCCAGGCACACAATTAACCGGCTCTGCTGCGATTAAAATGTCAGTCCCACTTCCCAGTTCTGCTGACGGATGCTGGAAATAGCAAAACAACCTCGATCTGCTCTTAGAAAGCGAGCCTTGCTGCGAGGTACCCCTGTGGGCTTGGCTCTCCACCCTCTCACTCCGTCCCGGGCTGAAGCCCCTGCTGCTGTACAGGGGGAGCTGGGGGCTGCCTGGTGCTGGGGGGCTCACCCCACCACACCGCGACCGATGCCCTCATGTCCCTGTGTCGTGGTTTAACCCGGCCGGCAGCTAAACACCACACAGCCGTTTGCTCACCCTCCCCCCTCCCTCTCTGGGACGGGGGAGAGAAATGGAAAGTGAAGCCTGTGAGTTGAGATAAAGACAGTTTAATAAGACAGGAAAATAATAATAACAAAAAAAATAATAACAATTATAATAATAATAATAATACAATGGTGATAATAGGAAAGTAATAATAATATGTACAAACAAGTGATGCACAATGCAATTGCTCACCACTCGCTGACCGATGCCCAGCCTAACCCCGAGCAGTCCGGCCCCCTCCCCCCAGCTAGCCACCCCTATATATTGTTTAGCATGACCCCAGATGGTATGGAATACCCCTTGGGCTAGTTTGGGTCACCTGTCCTGGGTCTGTCCCCTCCCAGCTCTTACTGCACCCCCAGCCTGCCCGTTGGCAGGACAGAGCAAGAAACAGAGATGTCCTTGGCTTAGTATAAGCACTGCTCTGCAACAATTAAAGCATCGGGGTGTTATCAGAACTCTTCTCATCCTAAGCCAAAACACAGCATTCCACCAGCTACTAGGAAGAAAATTAATTCTGTTCTAACTGAAACCAGGACACCCTGGCACGGACATCGCCTCCAGCCTCTGACAGAGCTGCTGCGTGCTGCCGGTGGCGAGGGGACACGGCAGACACGCAGCAAGGGAGCCCAACACTTTCCTCTCGCAGGGAGAAGAGCGCCCACCTCTTACCTGCCTGTCGGCGATTTTCTCTGTAACCGGTCTCATCCCTTTCCATCTTTTCTGCTGCCAGCAGAGGCGTGAGGGCCAGGAGAAGGCTCCAGCGCAGGGCCATGCTGCCTTCTCCCCCCTGGCAGGACCGAGGGCTCGTCCAGCCGGCTGCTGCTCAGTGCCCGCCCGACTGCGAGATGTGCAAGCAGCGAAAGGAAGCAGGCAGGCAGAGCGGCTGCATGCGGGGCGAGAGGCTTCCTCATTGGAGAGGGAACCTCTGCCGCTGTCAGCACTGCTTTCGTTCCTCGGAGCACCGGGGCAGCTTCGCACCCGTCTCACAGCCCCGCAGCTCTCTGAGTGCTGGCCGGAGAGGCCGTTTTGGGGGCTCTCTGTGGGAGCAGCCACGCGACACGACGCCTGAGCTGCCCCCTCGGGATGGGCAGCAGCGGTCCCAGAAGGACGTGTGAGCAGCCTGGCTCTCCAGGACTTCTGCGGGAAGATGGAGCTTCCACGCTCAGTAGAGTCATGCAGAGACTACGTCAGCACAACTCTCCCTTGATTAAGATCTGAAAACTTGGAAAGAATTGTGGAAAAAGGCTGCCAAATGGGCATTGATGGTCTTTGTGAGCTGGTGGCGCACGCTTGGGCAGGAAAGCCGAGGTGCTGAATGGGTGCTGGAGCGCAGGCTGAGAGCAGATGCTGGGTGACACGCTGGTGACAGCCACGGGGACCCGCAGTGTGGGTGCCATGGCAGTGATCCCAGGCCTGAAAGTCTGTCTGGTGGTAGGAGCCTTGAGGTGTTTTGTTTTCTCTGATGGAGACTTTGGAGTCTTTCAGTGTAGAGGCTCAAAAACCATTTATAGAGCTGCAGAAGCAAAAAGCAAACCACATTAGCAGGAATGAAGTTCCCCTTTTGGGGGAATCTTTGGAAAATAACTAGGAAAATTCCATATGTCAGAAAAAATCCCCCCCCCCCACCCCAAAAATAAAAACCCACATCCCAGTACCGCAGCCCCTCCGGTAGGGACCCTTGGGCACAGAGGCTGCCACCAGCCCCTCCCCGCCCAGGCACCCCTGGGGACCTAGGGCAGGCGCAGGGGCTGCCTCCCACTGCCTTTGGCATCTCCCCCTATATCCCCCAGCACTCAGGGGCTCCAGGAGAGCTCCTGGCACCTCTCTTACCCACACACTGCACCACAGAGCTCCTTGCTGCCAGAGCGCGTTCACCAAACGCCACTCACGTTCCTGAGGCTTCTGCCACACGCTTCCCAAAGCCTCTTCATGCACACATGGCTTCTGGAGATGTCACAGGTCACAGCACTTCCCCTCAGTAATCACAGCTGTTTGATGTCTTCCAAGACACGGTTAGAAGAGCTGGCGAGAGCCAGGGGTAGGAAGGAGAGGGGAACTGAGAGGAGTCCCTCAAAACCCTCACACAAAGCTCCTTCAGAAAGACACGGCCAACAAACACCGCGTGTTGCCCTTCCCCTCAGCTCTGTCCCCAGCTGCCTCCTCCTCCTCCCCCTCAGCAGGGAATATTGTCTGTCCCCATCCAACCAAGCACCCTGCCCTCCAGTGCCAGCTGAATGCCTCAGGAAACCCTCGGAGCTGCTCAACCCTCCCTCCCACTCCTAAGCACTACTGCTTTTCTATTCCTCCAGAAACAGGCCCCCAGCCATGTCCTGGGGATCACTGGGATGTTGTCTGTGGAAGACAGCCATCTCTGCTGCTTCTTCAAACGGCCCCGTTCACCACCAGGCTCTGAGCCCTGCTCTTCAGCCCGTTCATCACCCAGTGCAGTGTGAACATGCTCAGCCCATCCTCCAGCAGTGTGCTGCTCAACAAGGAGAGCCTCTGGGCTGACCTTCCATGTCTGGGATGTTCCAGGCCCTGGTGTCCGGGGGGGAATAGGGAGGACAGAAACAGCTCCTCACCACAACCAGAGCTCTGAAGATCCTCAGGCCTGCTGCTGAGGGGTCTCAGAGGAGCTGCAGAAGGACAGCTCTGGGCTCATCTCCCACGTCCTGCGGGAGATGACTTGAGCCAAAGGGGAACAGTTGGGCCTCCATCACCACGCAGGCAGACAGCCCGCTCACAGCCTTCTGCAAACCACAGGCCTTTATTGCTTGTCCCAACAGAGCGGGCAGAGTGGGGTAAAGCATGTGGGCACCCAGGAGGTGGAAGGAGCACAAACCGCCCCTCAGTTTCCCCATCTCACAAACCCGCTCATTCCCCGTTGGCTTGAGCCCACCCTTTCCCTCTCGGCCCGATATCCACGGGGAGCAGCTCCAGCAGAGCACGCAGGCCACACCAACAATGTGCTTGGTCCCAGAGGCCGGACACACTCCCTAGGATGAGGGGCAGATGCATCCAGAGCACTGGAGGACACCCAAAACCTGAGAACGACCTGGGCGTGATGGTTGATAGTCGGCTGAATATGAGCCAGCAGTGTGCTCAGGTGGCCAACAAGGCCAACGGCATCCTGGCTTGTATCAGAAACAGTGTGACCAGCAGGGCTAGGGAGGTGATCGTCCCCCTGTACTCGGCTCTGGTGAGGCCGCACCTCGAGTACTGTGTTCAGTTTTGGGCCCCTCGCTACAAGAAGGACATGGAGGTGCTTGAGCGGGTCCAGAGAAGGGCGACGAAGCTGGTGAGGGGCCTGGAGAGCAAGTCCTACGAGGAGCGGCTGAGGGAGCTGGGCTTGTTCAGCCTGGAGAAGAGGAGGCTCAGGGGTGACCTTATCACTCTTTACAGATACCTTAAAGGAGGCTGTAGTGAGGTGGGGGTTGGCCTGTTCTCCCACGTGCCTGGTGACAGGATGAGGGGGAAAGGGCTTAAGTTGCGCCAGGGGAGGTTTAGGTTGGATGTTAGGAAGAACTTCTTTACTGAAAGGGTTGTTAGACATTGGAACAGGCTGCCCAGGGAGGTGGTGGAGTCACCATCCCTGGAAGTCTTCAAAAGACGTTTAGATGTAGAGCTTAGGGATATGGTTTAGTGGGGACTGTTAGCGTTAGGTCAGAGGTTGGACTCGATGATCTTGAGGTCTCTTCCAAGCTAGAAATTCTGTGATTCTGTGAAAACACGCCTTCGCTGGCACAGGCCGTGGGCAGCTCCTGCCCTGTAGCAGAGGGTGCTGGTGACAGACGAGAGAGGCAATGGGAGGGGAAACAATAACCCAGCACAGGCTGTACGAGGTCCTGCTTACAGCTGGGGAGCACCAAAACTCGAGAAAGGGCCATGAGGAGGCCTTCAAAATGCCGGGCCCAGGAGCACCCAGTGCCTCTTCCCACGGTCAGACTGGGAAGCCTCTCGCACCGCTGCCTGTCCAGGCAAGGCCAGGAGGGCTGAAGAGGGCAGTGTCTTTGTGCCCTTAAAGAAATGGCCGCAGTCCTCTTGCTCTGGTTGCCCGGACGAGACCCCCAGTGCTGGTCACAGTCACACGAGAGACGGGGTCCTGGCAGCCACCAGCACTAAGCTGGGGTCGTCCTCCCCGCGGTCTCTGCTCTCTGACACCCGCCGTGGTCTCCCAGCGTCCTGCGCAGGGACGGGGACGGTCGCTCTCCAGCCCGGCCACCTCTACCTGCGGACACCAACAGCACCCAGGGCAGAGGCTGCTGCCAGCCCTCGGCAGAGCTCACGCTGCCACAGCCGTGAGGGTCTGAGACAGGCCGGAGCGCTGGGCACTGCCTGGCACCGCCACGGCCCTTTCCTCGGGTCGCTCTCGACCCTCTGCCCCATACATGTGTGGGGGCCATCTCCTACCTGCTTCTTCTTCGGCCAGAAACCTCTCCTTGATCACACAGTAGTGGTCCGAGTTTTCATAGGGCTGGAGCTCTGCAGGGGACAAAACAGCCTGAGGGACCTAGGGCTGCAGGAGGAGGAGCAGCGCAGACCCAGGCAGGCAGCGGCACAGGGTCCGTGGGGCTCTCCTGGCAATGACCTGCCCTCCTTACATCCCAGCCCTGCTGCCGTGGCCCTACCTGTGTAATGGTCCTCCTCGGCTTTCCTGGGCAAGGCTTTCCTCCTCCTGGGAAGGCAAAGGGGTGTCCTGAGGCTGGGCAGAGGCTGATGGGGCTGCTGACTTGCAGACCCAGCCAGGAGCCCACCAGCCAAGCCACAGTAGCACCAGCTGCAGCCCCCATGGCACCCAGAAAAGAGTGAGAGCAGTGCAGAAAGCCCCCTCTGTCACCAGCCACCCCGCTAGCCCAGCATGGCCTGAGGCAGAGCAGTGACTCTGAGTTCCCTGCCTACTCACCTGCACATCACAAACCACAGGATCCCAGCAGACAGCATGACCATCGCTGACAGCACAGCCACCACGGTGACCGCAGTCCATGGCCAGGGGCCTGGAGGCTGCCCTGAAAAGAAGCACACAGCCAGCAGTGGGTGCCACAGCCTGGGCCTCGAATCTGCAATGGCCCCAGCGATGGCAATGAATCTGTGCAAGGGTATAGAGGTGTCTGTGGGCTCATGTACTGTGTGGGATGGAGGATCACCCGCACTTATGGGAAAAGAGAGGTGTCCTGTGCCCCAGAAGGAGCTCCTGCCCTCGCCAGCCCCTGACCACAGCAAGGTGCCAGGCTGGGAAAAGGGAGGACGTGGCAGAGAGCCTCGGGCACAGGGCGCGGGGTGAGCCAGCCCCTCCGCGGAGGAGCCCACTTACCACTGCTATCAACTAGTGACTTATGGCTTCCGAATGGGACACTGTGCAATCCCCTGATATCTGGCCAGGTGGCCAGGAGATTAAGGAGAAGAAAAAAGAAGCTGAAGGATGGCTAGGAGACAAAACTTGCAGGGGACGCTGTGTAAGCTTTTGACATGCTGCCAAGGAGTACAAAGGGAAGGACAAGAAAAAAAAAACTGAGAGGAAGACTACGAGCCTTCAGCATGAAAGACCCCCAGAGACCCCCAGGGAGACCACCGGAGACTGATGCGCATGCTCCAGTAGGAGGGACTGGGTTTGGATTCTGGAAACTAATTATAATAACCCAGTCTTTTTTAGAAGTAGTAATGAATATGTATTAGTCTAGGAGCATAAAAATCAGCTACTTGATGTGGCTGGTGTGCGTACTGGTGGAGTGGAGACTCCCGGCGCACCCAGCGCTGTTTGCTTACCTCTATTCCTTTAATAAATTGTGAACTTTGATTGTAGTCCTGATTTGAAGACTGAGCCATTTATAACAGAAGGAAGCATTGAAGAGGGTCACTGCCTTGCCTTCCCTTCCCCTGGCACCCTTGCAAGGTGCTGCGGTCACAGCCCTGCTCCCAGCCAGCAGCAGGGAGAGGAAGGCGGAGGTGACACTGCCCACGGCAGGTCTCCAGCTGCAGAGCTGGAGGAGTCTGGATCACTGGAAGCTGGGCGTGAGCTTTGCATCACCTCTCAGTGCTCGAGGCAACTGCTGGTGGGAGCAGACCCCTGGCTCCGTCCCCTTGCTGCCTGGCAGCGGGCTCAGCCCCTCGGGAGGGAAATGCTCCCACGGGTGCTGGCCCTCTCGCCACAGAGCGTACCCGCACCCAGCTGGCAACCTCCATGCGTGCCTCTGAAACAGGGCCAGCAGCACTCTGCCATCGGGACCACCCTTCCCTCTTAAATGCACCTCCTCACTCACCCTCGCACAGCCAGTAATCTTCAGGCTGCCAGTAGTCAGTGCTGTTCTTCACAACCCAGGACCTCTGAGGAGTTGGAGAGCTTTGGCCTGGGATATCTACACAGGCGATCTTCATGGGAGGAGGCCAGTACCCTTCAGGGCAGCTCACCATCACCACTGCACCGACCATGTAGGATGCCATGTCTGGGACAAAGATTAATCTGGGGTCCCAGCGGGGCTTCTGGCATTTTCCTGCAACAACAAGAAGGGAAGGTGCTAGCAGGGCAGGGGCTGGCCATGCAGGGCAAGGCAGGGGACGTGGCAGGAGATCCCTGCCCTGGCACGCTACGGTGAGGGATGGAGCTGCGGGACACGACGTGGAGCAGCTTCTGCAGCACGGCCCCAGGAAGGGGATGAGGGCAGGTCTCCAACTCTGCAGCCACCAGCCCCCTCCCCACCAAGACACCCCTGGGGACCCTGGGCGAGCCCTGGGCAGGTGCAGGGGCTGCCTCCCACTGCTTTTGGCATCCTCCTCTATATCCCCCAGCACGCAGGGGCCCCAGGAGAGCTCCTGGCACCTCTCTTACCCACACACTGCACCATGGAGCGAATGCGGGTCCAGGCACCTCCTGAGCCCTTTCCCATCCAAACTTCTCTGTACACAGGCTTCCCAGCGCTGATGGACTGGTCTTCTCTTGAACATTTGATGTGGGTGAAAGATGGCTCGAAACCCTCAGGGCAGCTCAGCGTCACTTCTTCCATCCTGTTGTACTCCTCCTGCTCTGGTGCCAGACGGAGCCTTGGGTCCCACGAGGGCTTTCGGCACGTTTCTGGCAGAGGCAAAAGCAGGTGAGTGGCTGTGGGGGTGGGGCTGCCCAGGGGTGGGTGAGGCTGGGCCACCATTTGCTTGGGCACTGGTCTCAGGCATCAAACCCAGGGAGACCGAGGGATGCGCTCAGGTATGGGGAGCATGGCCCAGGACACGGTGGGGATGTGGGAAACGCAGAGAGGCATGGAGGGTAGGACTGGATGACAGGGCTGCAGAGAAGGTAATTCCTGCCAACCCACGTACCAAGGCACTCCACAGGCCCCTCAATGTGAATCCAGACACCTGTGCTCTTCCTCCCCAGCCAGGTAGTTCTGCCTACAAATCCAGAATGTTCTGCTGTCTGCACTCCCCCTGCACATCTGATGTGGGTGAAGGACGGCTTGAAACCCTCGGGGCAGCTCAGCGTCACTTCTGCGTTCTCCTTGTACACCTCCTGCTCTGGTGCCAGACGGAGCCTTGGGTCCCACAAGGGTTTCTGGCATGTTCCTGGGTGAGGCAAAAGCGAGTTTAGTTGGGGTGTGGGTGCTGA